TGACTCTCAGCTACTACCACACCATATTTTAGTACATTACCAGAAAAATGGCTGAATGTTTATAAGCTGAGGTGGTCATCTTGAATTGAATTGACTCCAAAAAGTTAATGTACGCCTGACGCCCCTGATGCTCAAAATGCATTTGGTGTGAAAGCAGCATAAGCTGGACCTCCATTGATTATTTTATGAGCGTGTTATTACAAATCAACTAGTGGTTCTTGAGATATTTTGTTAACAAACAAATTGAGTTGACAACAATAGCTTCTGTCAACGCTTTCAGCAAAAAATACTGTGCACTATGTAGTGCTCGAAGTTCAGGATGATGTTCATCTGCAGCCACACCAAATTTTAGCTGAATAATCAGCTGAGCTGTAGCAGTATGTTTACAGTCAGTTGACAGTGGTGGACTACTTTAATTTGGTTGACTCCAAAATGGAATTAGCTGTAATTGTATCAATGAATRCTTTTTGAGAGTTTCATTAAAATCCATCCRGTGGTTCATAAGATRCTTTACTAACATGCAAAAAGGCAAMATTTTAAAAAGAAAGCTTGCACARTTTCTTAGTGCTTAGCATATTTGTTAGCAATGAGCTAACGTCCACACCAGATCTTAGGTCAATATCTGTAAAACTGACAGAGTTGTARACCTTTCTGTGTRTTTTTTTAAAGCTCAGTAGGCCTTAAGATCCATTAAAAAAGCACAAAGATTAAAACTGTTAAAGAACAAGTGAGAATGTTTTTTTACACAAACCCAAAAACCCATGAGCAAAATTAAAATTCAGATCAAGCTGATTTAACAATATGCATTMTGTGAGGAATTTTTAATAAAAACCTTTTCTTTTTATTCCTAATAGAGAATTTGTTTGTAACTCTGGTTACGTAGAAGACTGTGGTTCAGAGCAGAAAGCTGCTGARCAAAGTGAAGCTACATCTGTTTTCTTTAATGACAGTGTTGTTTTTCAAGCTCAAACATGACAGCACTCCAGATTTACTGTCCTGCCCTAAATATGCAGTGACTAGCTGTCAGTGGAGCTTCTCTTATCTAGTTCATTTCCTGCTGCATTCTAGCTGCTTTAATAGCTTAACCCTGTCTTAACTGATGCTTTTAACCAGGTAAAATTTCTCACTTATTGGATAATTGTTTTTATTTCTATAAACAAGTTAACTCCTTAAATCAAAAATTTATTGATAGTCTACAAAGGATTATTATTATTATTATTAAGAGTGATACTGAAACACCTGACTGTGTGAATGCTGAGTCATTTGAGTTAACAAGTTGTTCTTTAACAAATATCTGCAGGTATTCAGTACACAGCATTTAGGTACCGGTATATCATTTTACAAAAATGGAATTTCTCAAGGTACTATTCATGCTGTMTGGTGTTGTGCAGCTTTGAAATAAAATATATCAATTATGCACCAAAAATGCCCCTCAATGCATGCAGTGTGTTGTCATTTTCAGTAGAGTCGTGTCATAAAAAGACACAATTTGTAAAAGAAATGTGAAGAAAMACCTAAACTTAGCACAAAAAAGTAAGGAAATTTGTGTTTGTTAGATTATTATTTTGTTGTAAGAATGCTAAAACTTTCCATTTTAAATGGTGCCGCATTTATAAGGAACATGCATTTGTGGGATGAGCAGTAGAGTTGAGTATGAGGGTTGTACACATGAACATTTTGCCAAATCTTCTCTGCCAAATGGCTTATTTTGCTGTTGCTACACTGTCAGAAGAAAAGGTATAGTAGGTGTACATTTCTGTATATTCTAGTACATTTCTGTCCTCTGAGGTAGATCCTGGACTTTTCTACCCATATAGAGCTAATATTTGGATTTTATGGCACATATTTGTACTTTTTGAAGTACTTTTATGTTCCCAAGTAGTTAATGGTACATATATGTACCCTGTATGGATGATTTTAGGGTACAATTTCAGAAGATGGACATTGAGGCAAGAAAAAATGTATAAAAGCAATGTCATTTGAAGGTAATATTCAAATGAAGTGGTTGAGTGA